CATATACTTAGCATATCGTCATAGCAATTAACTCCCCCTGGGCATTCTACCTCTAAGTATGGACGGACTAAGGATGGTAGCATGACATCACATCTCACCAATCTCAGATGGGAACTGATAGCACAGGCCTCATCTAACATACACATAGTCCAGAACAGTCAGCAATGGGCTCTTAATGAACATTAATAAAATCCAGCAAATGTTCAAGAAAACACAGTTTGGTTCAGGTTGGAAGGGACCTCTGATCCAACCACTCTGCTCAAGCTGGGTCACCTAGACCAGGTTGCCCAGGACCGTGTCCAGACAGCTTCTGAGTATCTCCAAAGATGGAGACTCTACAACCTCCCTGGGCAACCTGTGCCAGCGCTCAGTCACCCTCACAGTAATAATGGGTTTCCTGACGTTCAGCTGGAACATCATGTGTTTCAGTGTGTGCCCATTGCCTCAGGTCCTGTCCCTGGGCACCACTGAAAAAAGCCTGGCTCTGTTGTCTTTACCCTTCAGGTATTTATACACGTTGATAATATCCCTCCTGAGCTTTCATACAGTCCTATTTCTACTTACATTCAACAAAGTATTGTTCTTCATAGGTGTCCCTGATCTTAGGAGTCAGTCTGTTCCAAAGTCTTAAGAGGTCTCTCTCCATGACATCTGAATTAGCTCATCCTGCCTTAAAGAAACCATGTTCAATAACACTTACTTTCACTCCAAAATGCTGCGTCTCCATCCCAGAAGAAGAAAATCCCCAAACCATCCCTGACCACCCAATAATGTCATAACTATTAAACACAAGTTGAAAATTTGTCACATAAATGAATATTTGAGACTGATTCTTATCGTCAAATGTCAGAATAATTTTGAGATGTTCAAATTACCTTCATAGCAATGTACCTGTCCTGTAAAGGTGCAGCAGGAAATTAACTTTGAGGAAAAAAAGCAGTGTCAGGTAGATTCACAAGCATTCTGTGTGGTTTGTGTTGGACTGGTGCAAAGGATGCAGCAGCCAGCTGCATCTTGGCCACGTGTTATCAAACTAAAACTTTTGACTATTTCAAATACTGTTGTATCATTTCAGCTTCCAGCAGAAACAGATTATTAAAGTGTCTGGGAAAAGGAGAAGTGAGCAAAAATTTTCACTTGGGTTAGAACCTTATTCTGTATTGTATGGTTAAATGGCTACGGTTAAGTGTTTAAATTTTGTGCAATAAAGTTTAGTGTATCTTGTAGCGTGGTTCCCTCTATATAATTTTGAGTTGCAATGCAGCTGCTTTGGGAGGAAAATGGTCTCTGTCTTGCTGGACAGCTCAAAAGACCCAGGCAGCTACCTTCCAAAGTGTACGAAGGAATGGACCACGTGTACATTACCCAGTAGTTTACATTATATTTCCTTGGGGCATATACTTTATGTAAGCATTCGTAATGGTTTGCAAACAGCTTTGCTAGTCCATGTGAAGTCTTCACTCGCTGGTCTAGGCCTTAGCCTTCTTAAGCTGTACAACACAACTGGCTTTAGTGAAGGGTGCTCAGCTGAATTTTCTGAAGTTACGAGTACCTTTGGTAATGTGGTTGCTGCCTGGAATTGCCCAGCTCAGATTGTTGTGGAGCATTACAGCAAAATAAAATGGGTTGTAAATGTACAAGTACAACTAAGTACAACTTGCCCAGGAAACTCTGGGTGTCTGACCAGGCTATGCTGTTGATTTACTTTCATGAACGCAGTGGATTCACGTGCCTGAAAGCTGCATGCTAGCCATTTGTCCAGGATATGAAAATTTTTCCCAGTGCAGTTTCCTGGTGGATCTGTTCATAGTACTGGAGACTGAAAACCCAAACAAGTGACCAACATCCTCTTATTTTCCTTTCCCCCTTTAGGCAAGATTTCCAGAGGGAAAAAAAGAGAGGCAAACATATAGTCACCCTTCCTCGGCACAATAGAGTATGTTCTTGGATTCATGCACGTATTTCTAGCTACTCACTAAGATGTCAGAAAAAGCTTCCATGCCCCACTTGGACAGGCTGTAGCCAACCCCTACAAAAGCCATGAGGCCTTTGGCATTAGTTAGATTGACTCCTCTTCCCTCAGCTTTTTTCAGAAGTGGCAGAAGCTTGAGCATGATTTCAGTCAATCCTAGCAGACTAACATCCAGCACTGAGTGGAAGTCTTCAGTCCTCAGCCAGTCGGTAGGCACTATGGGTACTGTTCCTTCAGCATTGCTCACCAAGCCCAAAAGCCCTAAGAGGATTTAAAAAAACATTTATTTGTCAATATCTTACCCTAGAGTTTCATATGTAGCATTGGGGACCAAGTACACAGTCTGCAAAAACTTCAGTGAGGTGAATACAGTTGTCTGGGATTTGCTTGGCAAAATTTGCTGAAGGCCTTAGGCAATGACTCTAAAAGAGCATGGTAAAGTATTAAAGGAAAACTATTTTGCTTGGAGATATGGGTCACCATACTGGGCTTTATTATCTAGATCTGGTCAAGTATGTGGTCTTCTAATACGCACTTACATTTTTCTGAAAATCAAACAGTGCACATAGAAGTTGAGAGAATGATTTTTCTAGGTTGGGGTCTAAAGGTCTGAACCAGATTTGGAATTAGCCAATGCTTCTAAAAATATTAGCTTAACCCTGTGTATTGATAATACTGCTTTACTACCTTATGAATTACTTGAGGAACTTTAGATAAATAGTGACGCTTCCAAGAGTTTGTTGAGGACAGCCTGCGCCTGAGAGGCCGAAAGTCCAGCACTCAGCTCCATAAAGAGTTTCTCACACTGAGGTGACAGTATTAGCACTGGTTACCCCAGCCGAGATCGCGTGACTTTCCACAAGCTGGAGCAGGGACTTGCCGGAGGAGGTAAGTGCTAATAATTATGTTGTCCCTGCCCTCAGTCGCTACATTCAAGAATGGTCTGGAACTGTCTTGATAAGGCCAACAGTGTTTTACAAGCTTTGAGGAAAAAGTACTACTGGTAGAAGATACATGTTTTGCTGTTGTAGCTAGTTAATTAATTAACGAGCCTATTGAATGTTTGGTATAACGGTGTGTTATAGCTGGTAGTTGCAGTGCTATGATCCCCTTTGGTGGCCCTCAACAATGTCCAGTCTGAGCTATCAGCGCTAAGAAACATGTATTGCCACAGCTGACATATGTACCACGCAGATCTTTTTATCACCCTTTGCCAAAGACAATACTTGAATCTTTTTTTTTTTTTAATTCCACTTATAGGTGTCCAAAGCCAAACCTTTCCTCTTTTAGACAGGTGTCCAGAGGTGGATGATAGCAGTAGTGAGAGCTACCCTGTATAACAACTCTAAGAAAACTGGCTGAGATGGCAAGTGCTTAGCTGCTAGTCAGTGCAATTTTTGTGTGCATTGCAAAACTCTGACTCACTCAGCCATGCAAAAACACTCTTCTGCTTACTAGAGGAGGGCTAAGACGTCCTGCACCAGCCATTTTCATTTGGGTTGGCTGGTTTTATTGTCAAGAAAGTTCTTTCTGATACTGATATGCCTTCCCCCCACTAAGATTCTTCAACTGCACCAAAAAAAGTCTGAAAAACACACCAGGGAATGATCTGGTTTCAATAGACCAAGCGACTAGATTTTTAGGAACCCTGTTGGTGACAGCGAGGGGAAGCCCAAAAGCATTGCTGGAGAGAATCTCTTTGAACAGAGAAGAGACAGAACTGAAGAATGAATGTGTTTATCAGTAAGATGAAAAATGCCTCTGTGGAGAGTGGAGAGGCACCAGAACTCTTAGCTAGACCAGGTTTGGTTAGATTGAATATTTTTTCTGGGAAATCACCTTGCCACTTACCCTTGCCAGCCATCTCTTCAGTCACAAATATCACAGCCCTGGTAATGCTGTTGGAATCATCTAATTTCAGGTTGACCGTCTTCAGTGAGAGTGAGGAGCATGACCTTGGCCTCCTTTTTCTGTGGCATGTGCAGTAACGGCACAAAATCCACTTTTGTCAAGCCATTTAGCCAGTGAGTTTCCAAGTCTGGTGTCACAGCCCGTTATGAAGACATGCTTTCCACTCAGTTTTCTCGCTCTGTGACTGTCTCTGATGAGCCAGTAAATGACAAGAGAAAGAATGGAAGCCAAAATTGCTACGTGCAGTGAGTCTGAAAGTAAGAGCAAATAAGTTAATGATCTAGAAATGCAATGAAGCAGATGTGCTTAGCCAGCCCCCCAGCTTCCTCAGACACAGTTCCCGTAAGGGGCTTTGTTTCTAGTTGCAACCCTTCCAGGGCACTGTAAGTTAGGGGAGAGCAGGGGTGGAAGCTTTGGCACAATGTGATTGGGATCCGTGAATAATATGTGCCTTGGCAAAACCTTCCCTACCCTCCTTTTCAATAGATTTCCACTGTTTTCAAGCTTTGCTGACCAATCTTTCTGGTCAGCCCTGTTCTTTCAGGAGGATGTTTCGGACTGAAAGGAATGATTGCGTCAGTTCTCATGGTCTGGGCTTTTTTGTGGACACTGGTGATTATTTGTGCTAATACTGGAGAGAGGAATTCCTCTGGGAAGAAGGACGATTCTCTTTGACCGCCTGTACGATGCCACCCAGGCTGCTCTTCTGATCTGTAGTATGGAAGCACAGCAACCTCAAGGACAGCCAGAAAAGCCTAAACTGTAGTGGTGGGTCTGATGACTAATTTATTGTGTGATGGCGAGTGATCTGCTCTCTGTCCTTTAGACAAGGTAGACTTTGCGGCAGTGCCTGAGTCTTCTGTCTCCTTCCTCCTTGCCTGTTTAGCACTGATAAATATAGAATATATTCTATAGCAAGTGTATTTGTATAAAGAAATGTGGAAATGCATAGAGATGTTGCCCTCAAAAAACAAACAAACAAAAGAAAGCACTGAGGAAACAAGGTTTCCTAACTCTGTTGGGGAGGATACTGTTTGCTTATCACAAAAATTTTTGATAAAAGTGGAAAAGAGTTCTTGCCATCTAAAATCTTCATGAGTGATTACTGTTTTTCTATTTGTATTTTTGATTTGTGTAAGAATTAAACCCAAATAATTCACTAAAGCAAATATTTATGGGAAGGCTGGTAAGCACTTTCCAGACATCCTGTTAAAGAGAAACTTTTTTATGGGTGCTAAGAACTCACCTAGGCTCTAGCTACCTACATATGTATAGAGGTGAAGACGTCTGGCCTGTAAAATGTGATTGTATTCAAAGAATGAAGTGATACTTTAAAAAAAAGGAATTTGTGATAATTTTTACATCCTGAAAGTACTTGAAGAGGAAGCGGTCTGTCTTCTCTAACTCATAGCTGTCTGAAGTTAAGCATTCATTTGGCTGATTCTTGTGTAACATCCTTGTTATCTTAAGATGTGAATATTCGAGGATGCCCAGTGTATTAGGCCTGGTTGCTAGAGCCTGTCTAGTGTTTTTGTTCCTACTGAGTTCACGGAGTGATTTGGATTTATTCTCATTCTAACTTTTTCTGTCTCCTCACCAAGTAGGAATGCAAGGAATCTCAGAATCTGATAGCGAATGAATGTTGAACACTCATTAAACAATTAAATCAGTCACATAGCTGATAAATGATAACAAGTTACAACATTCTTCGCCACTTAATAATCTTATTTTGTATAGTTGGGTGCCTCAGTAGTCATCAATACGGAGTTCTGAGCTACTGGTTAATGCTCTCTGAGTTTAAAAGGTTAAGCAAATATATACAGATAAGAATTCGCTTCTCCTTCCACCAAGTTTGACATGGGCTGCTTCTCCTTCCACTGCAATCTACAGGGAGGCTCCCACCAAACTTTCTGCGTGCTAGATCGGTCCCTGGGCTGCACTGGTTATTTTAGCAGCCCATCTCACTGTTGTTTGGAGGCTGATGTATTCGGTTCTCTAGTTCAGGTACTTCACTTAGATACTTGGCTTTTTTTGCTCTGAATGTCCCTGTTAAGTCTGACAAGGATTGCAGTGTTCCTGAGTGTGTGCACTTTGGAATCATCTTTGTAATGTTTCACTGAGTTGGTGACATTTATTTTCTGAGGGGACTCACAGAGTGTGCTCTGACAAAGGGCCATTAAAACCATGTGAAAGAGCCCAAGAGAATTCAGGCTTCTCTGCTGTAAAATCAAGTCTGAAAACAGGATGTTGCAGCAGCCGATCACAGACACCCCCAGTCCACTTGCGACGATGTGCCAGGCAATGACATTTCCTTTGACTGCTGATTTAGAATTTGGAGCCGAGCTAGACACAGAGAGAGGAGTTGCCACCAGCAGGCTCTTGTCACCCCATGCCAATGAATTTCAGCAAGCTAGTGCTGTGATATATCATTTTAGGACTCAATTCACCTTTTTCCCAGTACAAAAGTGAATGAAATAAAAGATTTGGGGAAAAATTTAACCTAATTGGAAACAGGAGCTGTAAATCACATCTTCCTTCCTTGGCCGTGCTGTAGAGAGGAAGCAGTGGGCAGTGAGCTTGCACTACTGGAAAACAGGTTAAATTTTGAACTGGGCTCTGTGGAGAAGTACTGGAGTGTCTGCACAGGATGCCTGCTTGGCTCCTGTAAGAGAAACATCTGGGACTGCTCTGGTTAGTGTTAGTCCCTGTGTTTAGGTAGCAATAATTTGCACAGAAGCACTGTAAGGGAAGGGGCCCTAGGGGTGACAGCTGAGAGGGCAGTGCTGTGTGCGGAGCCTCTGCTGCTCCTCTCTCCCCTATCAGCCCTGGGCCAGTGGTCCAGAGCCTATAATCCCTGATCGCCTCGCTCTCCCCAAGTACCAGTGCTCCTTCTCTGATAACATGTGGACATTTGGTGCTGAGCACCATGGCGAGTTTTGCTCTGCTGGAGCCTTCTGCAGGTGTTTATTCTGCTAGATGACATCATTGCTGCTGGAAGGAGTCTGGGGTCAGAATCAAAGGAAAGAGTTAAAGTTTTCTTCCAAGAAAATTGTATAGTTCTGTGAATGTACAATGTTATGCAAAATATTTCTTGCTTGATAATTGTGGAGCACTAAAAAACCTACTTGTCTTTCAGGGGCATATCGATTTTGAAATAGCTGCCTGGAGTGGCAAAGAGCGTGTGTCCAGAGAAAATGTCAGCATGGTATTTCAAGAGTATTGCTAGATCTTCATAAATATGAATTCTGATTACTAATGTAGCCAGTAAATAGCTAAGGGCAAATTCTACTTTCCATTAAAACTTTGTTATTTGCCTGGCAGATTGAGAACTCTTGGGACAGAGCTTGGCTTCTAATGCCCAGACAAGTGCCACTATAAAAGCAATTGATTTTAGAGAAAAGCAGCATGACTACACCAAGAGCCCTGTAAGATCCTCAGATGACTGCAAAATGCAGCATCTCTCTGCTTCTCTGCACTGAAGGAAACGGAAGCACGTAGACCATACTGAAGAGAGGTGTTACTGTTTTACTCCCACAGCAAGTTTGCTTTGGTAGTCGTGCCCAAGAACCTCAGGTCAGGGTGAGGTTTGGGGTCTGGGTGTGCTTTGGATTCCTTCACTGCTGCTGTGCTGGCAGTGCAAACCTCCCGCAGTCAGTGCTCTGCAATGGGTTGGAGCGACCTGCCAGGCACGCTGAGGAAGGACTGCTGAGGGGAAATTTAGGGACTGGGGTTCTTCAGATACAGCACTCTTGTAGCACTCAGTGGAGGGTTTGGATTTATCAGACAACACCCTGACAGATCACCCAACAGCTCTCCAGAGTCTAGGAACTACAAAGTTTACATACTGCCAGAGCTACAAAACCCCTGGCCTTCACTTCATAAATTGAACATATATGCAGGCACAAACACATCGCATCTCCCACTCTTAGGTGAGCTATTCCTGCAAGTGCTGGACTTCGCACTTTTGTTTAATGGAAAAGGAGTGATTTTTCATATGCTGTGTAAAAATGTCAGTGTGATAATTCAGCTTGGTGGTCAACAGATAAGATCTTCCTTAATATGTCACCTTAAAAGAAATATATTTCCAAACTCTCCTACTCTGCATTTTGCAGGGAGATGAATGTAGTCTGGTACAATGGGGCCTGATTTCTTGGCATGATTGTGTCTTTCCTTGTATGGTTTGCACTTCAGATTTTTAACACAGCATCAGTAAAATACACAGGAAAATAAAACCCTGTAAACTCTTAGGCAACTGACTCAGTAATTCAAAATAAACAAGTAGAGAAAGATTACACATGTTGGGAAGAACGTTTCTGAGTTAGCATTTTACTCAGAAGGTGTAGGTGCTTAAATAAACAACAATTGTTAAAATCACTCTAGAAAGGAAGGGACTGCATGTTCTCTTGTCTGTGCACTCAAAAACAAATGCTTAATTTATTCTCTTAGCTACTCTGCAAATGCCTATAATGGGTACTGCTCACTGTAACGACAGACACGAGTTCTGTTTCTGTGCCATTATTCACGTTCTGGGGAGGCATCTGCAAGCTCAGTCTTTAGCTCCAGGTGCTCCTGAATTGCCTTCATCAGTTATTTCCAGTGTCAGAACATAGAAACAGCCCGAGTCAAACTCGTAAGCTTGTGCACCAAGGCCTGCATGGTGATAGTTTCCAAAAAAATCTCACTGTAAGTTCTGTGTCTGGTAGTGCTTTCTGATGGCTGTACATTGGCTGACAAGCACAGCTCCTCTCCCTGCTGTTGATAATGACTTGTGCTGTGATGCTTCTACCTTAGGGACTTACTTGGTATTAATCTTCTGTATATGCTCCATACCTGCTTATCCTACCTATGTTGTGTAAGCATTGCTGGCTATATACAGTCATCTACAGACCCTGGAGGACTGTCAAGATTTATTAGGGAGAACCAATCTACTCAGCTGGGAAGGACGGGTCTGTGCTTTGTCTTGAAACCAGCAGGCGACTTTCCATTGATTTAACAGAGCTTTGTTCAGACCCCAACCTTTTCTCCTGCATGTGAGCGAATTATCATTGGTGTGACTTAATCTTTTAAGATACATCCTTGTGTGTGAAAACTTTCAGGGATGAAATTATTTTTTCTAATATAAGGTAAGCTTTTTGATACTAGAAACAAATCAATTGTCTGAGTAACTAAGCAGTGTTTTTAAAAGCTCGAATTCTACAAACTGTGCAAACAGAAGCTCTACAGTTTGCATGGGAAAAGACACGAAGATACGACTGCTCGGCTGCTTGTTTGCTCCCTGGCGCAGGGTCTGCCAGGCACTTCTGATGCAGCTCTGAGTGCTGTTGTGTAAGTGTGTGAGCAGAACTCCTTTCCGCACTCTTCACGCCTCCCCATTCACAGCGCTGTGTGGTGCCGGGTGCTGCAGGAGGTCAGGAGGCTTGGGCAAAGAGCGTTCTCAACAGCATAATGAATGAATACGCTTTTTATGAAAACTAATTTGAAACTAACAGAATGAGAAGGAAATTAGAACCGCGGAAATGAAGCAAGATGGTAGGAAGGTCCTACACCTGGGTCAGGGCATCCTCGGTATCAATACAGGCTGGGGGATGATGTGATTGTGAGCAGCCCTGTGGAGAAGGACTTGGGGGTACTGATGGATGGCACAAGCCTGGCAGAACTGCCTGCTGCGCCTGCCTAGTCCTGACTGGCCTGAGTCAAACCACAGGCTCTGCACTCCACCAGCACGCAAAGCCCATCACGGGGGAACATTTCTCCAGTAGCGTCAGGTCAGTAGTCTTGCTGTTGTAAGTAAAAATCCTTTGCCACACAAACTTCGGAAAGAAAAAGGTAAAAGGAGTTTATCTACTGTTGACATGTTTTCTCAAAAAACTGCTTTAGAACTGTAGAAAATAATTTCAGAAAGCTGAATAGATCCTGCTTAGCATCTTGCAAAACACTGAAATGGGGAATTTTTCCAGTAAGTTCCCTTTCTCACAGGGGCTCCTCTGACTTGCTCAGAGCACAGCATGCAAGGAAGCATAACGGAAGAGAAACCACCTAAGCAAAATGTGAACTCCATATGCAGCTTTCCGTCCGGGAGCTTGGCACGAGACCATCTTTCATCTGCAGAAAGCAGCATTTGACTGTCTGATTTCCCATTGACTCCTTAGATGTACTTCATAATGACATCCCTGACTCCTAGAAAAGATGTGGAAAAATTACTCTGCTTGAAGCATAACATTGGGGAAGGAAAGTTCGTTCTTAAGTGAAAAGCAAGCAGCTTAGGTTATTGAGGTTTTGAAGTGCACCTTTGTGTGCTGGCTCTAAGAAGCTAAGTGAAGCCAGGTGTTGTGGATGCTGTGCCCCAGGACGTTCTGACCTTGTGGAAGTCATGGGTCTTCTCCTGAACAAGTTCCTTCTACTCCCTAAAAACACATGTCTATATATTCACCTGCCTTATACAGCCTTGAGAGTAGGACAGGTTTTGATAGCCATAGCAGAGCACACTGTGGTTTGCTCATTTCCAAAAGTCACTGGTTTTACTGCTGGCGTCTGAGTAAACGAGGCGTCTGGTTCCAGGAGAGAAAATGCCAGCATCTTCTAGCCCTCCATACACTGAGAAGTAATACATTGAGCAGCTGATATTTTTCCTGTATTTCTAATTTAAATAATGTATTTGTAGCTAGTGTGCCCCATCCCAAATTCTGTTTGTATTTTCCTTTAAATGTTAACCTTTGCAGTGCTAGCGTCTTGCAGCAGCTGACTGTATACTTGTGGTCTGACAGGGACTGAATTAAACCAGCCAAAATGTAATTTCTAAAGATAAAGGTCAGAGTAGGTGGTGTCATTTCATACTTATTTTGTTTCCCTAATCACTCTTGGCTGACTGATCTTGGTGGTGGAAAAACGCGCTTTAGCTTCTAGAAAGGCTCTGTGTGAAGTGACTCCAGGGCTGTCTGCTGCCTTCAGATGATGAGTTTCACACCCTGCTGTGAAAGGGCCAAGGATTTAACTGACTGGGATGGATGGATCTCTTGCCTGGAAAGCTAGCAGCTCATCCAGATTGGGACAAGGAAGCTACTACCTCACCAGACAGCTACACAGCAGCCTTCAGTTTAAATG